ATTTTTGATACGACATACTGGGACTTTGGCGAAAATGACGGAGAACAAATAGCCAAATGCTCGTTGGAGCAATTGGAGGAGATTGCCCAGTCGGTGAACGGTGTGGTCCGCTCCTCTCCATGCCGGCCTCTAGGCCATCCATTAGTGCATTATTGCCCGGTCGAGAGCTTCCTTCTTGATTATTTCATCCGGGGTATCGCACCTTTCTGCTCGCTCAGCACCGAATGCAACCCCTATTTATCGCTTGTCACGCCCCTGGCTTTGAATTATCAACAGCCGCATAAGCCGCTGAGAAACACCCTCCTTGCTATTGCTGCAAACCAACTTCGGCTCCTCGGCAACCACACGTATGAGAGGGAAGCATTTGTGTTCAAGCAGAAGGCGCTACATGGCTTACAGAATGAGATTAACAATAGAAAGCCGAGCCCTGGCACAGTCGCTACGGTCTTGATGCTCTGTTTCCATGATGCAAGTACACTGTACTCTTTTCCTCCCTTTGGACGGCACTTCCAGAGAGCGCTTTTAATAATGTTGACTTTAGATAACTGATGGATGCACCCCATCATGGACAACACATCTTCGTGGGGGTCTTCGGCTCATGGCAATGCTCCCACATCAGATGTGCGAGAGCGAGGCGCTGAAGAAGTTTTTCGTGATGTATTTTGTCGCTCATGACATTATGGGTCGAACGGGAGCAGAAGATTCCTTGGAGATGGGACAAGAGGACCATTCATGGCTGGAGGACGATGATCTTGAAGAGGTAGGTCTATTCTGTTTGAAATCGACAGGATAACAACTTGACTGATATCGTATTTAATTTTTCTTCGATTGATATAATGCTTTAGATTGACGTATTGATGGGTTGTTCGAGGGGCTTAATGACCTTGATAAATAAGATATCTGCTCTAGCCTCAAAGAAATCAAAGGTATCATCCTCATCAAATGAATTTGTCACAGCACCGACGACAGACTTTGCATACTAAAAAAAGCTTTGAAGGTCATGAAAATGCGTCAGATTTCACCACAAGAAGTCTCGACTTTCAATGCGGCGAGGAATGCCATTGAGACCGAATTACGAGTTCTCCACCAAAAGCTACCAAGCTACGCCCCCCTCCAAGAAGACCTCTTACGTATTGCCGAAACGAAAAGACTCGCAGCGATCTTATATCTGCGCGAACGCCTGGGAAGTCCGGCTGGTCTTTGCTACTTTTATCCGCTTGAGAAGTTTAGTCGGCACTACAAGCATGACCCTGAGCATCAGTATAATAATAGAGGAAACCCATCTCTCGGCAATCAGGTCACTACTTCAGGTGCCGTGGAGACGTCGCCCTCAGGATTCAAAGCCCGAATCATCAGCATGATAATAAGCCTGATAGATACGCTCCCCGACTCTCCTACACTGCTATGGCCACTGTTTATTGTAGGTAACGTAGGGTTGGATGATGAACAGCATCGCCGTTTTGTGCTGGATAGATTAACGAGCATTCAGAAGACGCGCAATTTGGGCAGCGTTCGAAGAGCGCGAATGGTCGTTGAAAATGCATATCGTGCAAAGGATATTGATTTCCCGCGAGGCAAGGTTTGGGGAGACAATGAGCCAGGGGTTATTAGCTTGGCATGATATGTTCAAGTCTTCTTTCTTCCACCCATACAAGTGGTGTTCACTTCTTTTCGGCATTGCTGATGTTAGGATATTTTACTGTTGTTGCTCTGTTTGTCAGTTCTTGGTTGGGGCTCCTTACTACCTTATTTCTTCTCCCCCTTCCTTTTCCACTTAAGTCCCTTAGAAACATTTTATACTTGTAATCCTTTTTATATTTTAGAAAAGTCATTTAGTCACTTTATAGTCCCCCTTCCAAGGTTATTTGATAAGCGACAACTAAATAAAAATTCAAGGATATATATACTGTTAAACAGCAGCGTATATCCCCCCCTATTCTTGTATTTTTATGCAATTGTGTAATTTTTTTTGGTGGCGCTGTGGCATTATCTTATGAAAGAAATCTATACGGGACGAGTAGTTTCATGACAATGCAGTAATGATACATAAACAGCCCCTAAATCTAAAGGGCCTAGATTACAGGGTGCATTGATTTCACACGTTTACGTCAAAGGCGCTGTCGCAGGTTTTCTGGTGACTCCATTATCGGTGCTAGTATCCGTGCTTAGCATTGATTCGGATCCACTATGCACACAAATTGTTTTAATTTCATAACTAACTATCCATCGCCATGATGTCATGTTCGTCAACCGTGTACCTGACCTTGTTAACCAAGGGAAAACTCCCTATTAGTTTAGCTCGTTCATTCATGTCGTATACTTGAGAATTATGCTTGCTGGATATCAGTCTCATCTTGGAAAAAAAGAGTTTGTTCGTCATCTTTGGAGCCAGGGTTCTCGCAGCTGCGTTTGTTGGCGCAGGTGGCCAAAGCCTAGTAGCCAGCCATTAGAGCGATACTGGTACAGTAACTTGACAGCAATAGCGATGAAACCACCGATGTATTCTGGCGCCTGCGATTCGCGGAAAGTTTGGGGTCCAATCAAGTTTCCTTCCATGGGGCGGGGGATAGGGGCTAGCATTTATGTGAGAACGAGATAAGTACCTTTCATTGGGAGAGGACAGGCGTGGCGAAATGACCTGACGCACCGACGCAATATCCGATGTGCAGGATTGAATATTGCTTCTTGTGGTCGGCAGTGTTTCTTGTGTTCGCTTGGGCGACGGAGATGCCTTGATGGGATTCGAGTAATCAAGTAATCTTAATTTAAGGTTTGCGTACCAACTTCGTAGGGTCTGAAGTAAATAGTATGCATGCAGATAGAGGGGAATATATAGACCAGTCAGCATGTTGAACTTCTTTAGCTTGTTTTCTGATACAGCACAGCACAGCGTGTTGCAGACGCAGTATAATCCGATAGACGAGGATGGCTCCCAAAATCTGGACACAACAGGCCAGAATCGTGACCAGACAGCAGCGGTTGAGCCAGTCGGGCAGCCAGTGTTGAGAACACGAAAGCGGACAGCGTCGATATCACGCCAGTTGGCATTTCAAAGAGCGATGATAATGATTCTGCCGAATGTGACCAAGCCTGGTGTGCATTTATACAGCAACAGCGATTAACTTAGCGGCGAGCAAGGGGAAAATTGATAATCCTTGCAGGGCTGCAAGATCATGTGTTTTCTGTGTAGAGCCCCACTTGGAAGACGAGATTCTAGGGGGTGGCGAAACTTCGAGCTGTCGGGAATGTTTATTTCCCTCCGCTCGGAACATTGACTGACAGGTTGAAAAAGAAAAGAAGCCAAATTTTCGGGTCGACAATTGCTTCAACCGCCTGCGTCCATTTCCAATATTTGTTGGTTATTCCCATTCTGTGGTCTGCCAAATGCTAGACTGCGTGATATTGCTCCTGTGCGCCGAGGAAGAAGGCGTTCATGGGGGAGTCAGGCATGGCAAGGACGGCAAACACTGACCACTACCATAGGCACTGAGCGTATATATTGACATTAACCAACCTCCTCACAGCAATCGTCGCGAGTCCCCGAGACTTTTTCTACCTGTTATAAGAAACAGAGACTTTTCCATTTTGCTAAACCAACGGAGTCTGGAATGTGTCCCATGGCCCATGAGAGGAACCCATTGATGACAAAACTTGCAGCGGCACACGAGGGCATTTCGCCGAGGTTGCTCACTCTTTTACAGAAGCCTGCAATTATGAGAGAGGTACCAGGGACTATTACCGCCTCCAGGAAACCTGTCAAACAGAATCAGTCCAACCCTATTTCGCAGGGAAAACACAGAAGCTCAAGGAAAGCCATCTTGCTATGCCAGCGGTAAGGACACACCAATAAAAGAACCCAGTGTTAAGAGGCCTGTAGAGGAGTTGCAAGTCGGTATCAACAATGCCATCAGCGATCAACCCATTGAGCAGACGCAGAGATAAATTGGCGGACTGGAAGCTCTGCACTAGATAGGATGAAGGCCGCATTCCAACAATCACCTTCAAAGATGGTCAGATATTGTCCGAGTTGTGCATTCTCTGGCCAAGTCAGCATGCACCAATGGGGAGAATCGACCCCGCTCAAGAAAATTCTTGGCCTTCCGGATTAAGGTCTTCCCTTAAGACATACAGCGTTGATGTGCCTAATGCCACCTTGTCGAATGCTCCGAGAGTCGCGGTAAGGAACAGCTGAGAACACGACTCTGTTAGTTAGTCAAAGACAGCTCCATGTATGCAGCGGGAAGAAAGAGTGCCATTTCCTAGCTCGGCCATTCCAGAAAAACCGAGCTGACTAACCATTGGGATCAGGATCCCATCGAGCTTTCGTACCATTTCCCTCTCTGTGAGGTATCAATGGTGGATATTACCCAGCTTGATACAGATAGACTGCCGCCTGGTCTACAGCTGCGTCATCAAGATTCGTCTAGTGAGCAGCGCTGGGCGTCTCATGACTCTTCGATTTCACACCCTCCATTTTCATTGCCAAAAATTCTCATATAAAAAGCTGGGTCTGAAAGAGTCTTGATGCCAAATTTTGATGGAGGCTTTGCTGGAGGATGCGGAGTGATATGCGCCTTATCATGAACCGTAACATGGAACCGCCGAGATGGAACCTTGCCCCCCCAGGTGAATGCATGGCAGCACCAGCCCCTGCTGTCAGCAGAACCTTTCATGGCCCAAGGGGGTCGTGAAGTCATTTAGAATTGTTTTTTCTTCCTAGCACCGGAGATTACTTAGGTCTCCACAGATACATGCGTTTTGTGATTGCAGTAATAAGGCTGACTGTCGCCGGCCTTACAACGAGTTGCATACTGAACTGGTGTAATTTTGGAGCATGCATATCTGCATAATCATACGCCGATAATCAAGGGTTGAGAACAATCATATAGCTGGATATAGGAATTGCAGTACCCTCAACCTTAGCAATACTGGTTAATGCGATGATAACTCGTGGATATCAAATACCCCCATGTCACGGGATTTATTTAGCAAAGAATTAGCGAAGAGTTGAACCAGTTGAAACCATGTCGCAAGACCAAGTTACTGGAAATCCATTGTCAGCATTCTCGTATCGGGCTTCTCTTCCGATTGGATTCTTCGCAAGGGATTTTATACTCGGGCGCAGGAGGCGAAAGGATGCGTCTCATCGCAGCCGTGAATGGCGTTTCAATCCCCTCGTCGCGCTTATTTGGATAGCCTTTCTCCTTTACGAGCGTATCGACTTGCGTTTATGCGAGACACTAACGTAATCCACCACCCAACGCCCGTTTACACCCAAGGCCCGCTCAAATCTTCATTTTTCATTCATCTTTAACCACCCACAACATGCACCACAAAGCAGTTATACAAGCTGTGATTGATGATTTGAACACACAATTAACACCTAATTACACTGAGACTGCTAAAAAATATGGAATCAGCTGATATACATTGTCAAAACGTTATAAAGATGTTCAAATGTCAAGAAAGAAAGTAAGCTCTATCCACTGCAAAGCTTTCACTGATTTGCAAGAAAAACAGCTTCTTTTTCATATCAATCAATTGACAGATTGCAGTTTCTCTTGTACATCTTAAATTCTTCATAATCTCATTGTTGAGATTTTAAAAGTATTTATTGAAGTCAACTGAGTGGCTCAATTTTATGAGTGTTATAAAAATGTGATCAAGTCATTTTATCTGTAAAATATCAATCAAAAATATAAAATTGCAAACAATTCTGTATATTTTAAGTATTATTTTGATCTTGTAATAGATTTTTTTTCTATACTATTTTTTTAATTTTCATTTTGCTAAGGTATCTTAATTTTTCAACTGCAGATAAAAATCACAAAAATACAATCTTGGAATTTATGAATATCTACAACTTTGATGAAGAAAGGATTTTTTATTGAAATTCATTCACATTTTCAAATGTATTGTATCAATTAAATTCACTCAAAATCAGGGCTGTACAATAGATGTCAGTCAGAATGGCAGTTAAAAAATTCATCACATTATTTATTTCAATTTACATAGATGAAACTTCACTTCCATCTGCTCTCATATATTAAAAAAAAAATCAAGAAATATGCAAGATATTTGATTTGAAGATTTTGATAATGAAAAGATTCAGCTCTACTTCACTGCTTCAGAAAATGAATGAAATAATGATGAATATAGATTAATATAATTAAAAAAAATCTTTGAATTTCTTATAAAAAAAAAGGCAAACTGTGAATATAGACTTTTTATATTGAATGATCATTTATTCCATATTAATATAGCATTTATCAATTATGCAAATCAGAATTGAATTTTACTTACTATCTTTTCTTCCCATTCTACACATTGATTACAACTGTTAGATGTTAGAATATTTGAATCATTAAGTAAATCATATTTCAAACAACTGAATGAATGAATGAGAACTGAAATGGAATTCATACACATTATAAAGAGATTTTTTTAACAGCTTTTTAACAATACATGAAAGAAGACAATTATATGTTCAAATATTGAAACTGCATTTGCTGCTATTGATTTACATTCATTTAATTCAGAACACATTCTTAAAAAGCTTCAAATATAATTTTACATTTTTTCAAACACAATATATCAATCAAAAACATCTACTTCTATTATTGATTTGTGGAAATTGATGAAGCATATCAAACAACAGCAGCATTAAATATTTTATGATTTCAATCAAATAGTTCATACAGAGAAAGGTTTTGCTTTTGATAAAGAGATTCTTTTAATAAAGAATCAACAATTTCAAAAAGCTTTTAATAATAAAAAAAAAAAGACATCACAAATATAACAGAGTAATAAAATTGTTAGATTTTTCAAATTCATCATTAATACAATTCTTCTCACTGACAAAGATGCAAAGCATTCATAAGAATTTGACAGTTTCAGAGATTGTTAAAAAAAATGAGCAAGTTTATAAAAAGAATGCAAAGCTGCAACACATTATTTTTAAAAAATAAAAGAAAGCAAATATCATTCAACAAAGAATGAAGCAGAAAACAGCTCATCAGATTACAGAATAATAAAAAGAAAAGAATAAAACTGCAAAAACTGCTCAACAACAGATTGATAAGAAGTTTAGAGATGAGAAAAAAATTCAGAAATAAAAAAAAAAAAAAAAAAAAAAAAAAAAAATTGTTGTACAGAATTGAATAAGAAGATGATGAAAGAATTCAAAAATCATCTTTCTAATCAGAAAAGTAGATTTTCAATTTTATAAATAGTGACTAAATCATATTTTCAAAGTCCTGTCAGAGTGTTCACAGATTCACTGTCAGAGAAATATGATGATATTGCAATCTCTACTGATTTAATGACTGCTTACTCACTGAATCTGCCTTCATTCAGGATTTCATGTTCTGGACAAGTTATTAAATCAAACAAATGTTTTCTGAATTAGCTATATATTTTTATATGTAATTTTCTATATATATTTTCATTCTATAATATATTATCTTAAAATCTAATTGTGTTGTTGAAATAACATTGAAAATATTTCATCATAGTAATGGCGAAATGGCGGGCGTTGGGTGTAAACGGGCGTTGGGTGGTGGATTACGTTAAGTTAAGCGTTAACTAGTTGTCGCGGGAAGTCCAAATATTGATATATATCACGAGCAAAGTGAGCAGTAACCGTGATCCTAAGGAAAGTTGAGTTTCACACCTGCTGTGATACAAACTGCTACTGGAAAATATACATGTTGTGTCCGGCGAAATGACTCCCTACACCTCGTAAGCGTGATAACCATCACTCCAGGGTCTCACAGGCTCTCTGGGGCCCAACAATGACCCTGATGATCGAATCTGTTTTGAATTTGTCAAACAGAAAGCTCACGAAGTAACGATGCCTACAAAACCGGTGGCCAAAATCAACGATCTAGCCAACTGATACATATTTCCATCGCTCTTGGAAGGCTTGAGATTTAACCGTGGCTGGTGAAAAGACTGGCAGAGATGGGCGGCGGAATTGGAAAGGCTAATAAATTTAGCTAAATTAGATGATGGGAAAGATCGGGAACTTCTAGGGCTTTGGCCATAATTGCTTTTGAATACAATCATACAACGAATGGAGTTGGCTCCGGATTGAATGTTACATGGGAGGGTTTGTGTATACGCTTGAACACCACAAGCGTAGGACTATGTTCCTATATATGTATATATATATATATATAGGAAATTTTAGGACCGGGTTTCTCCACTGCAGCGCACTTGACCGATGTTCTCTATATACCTAACGAGGGCTGTTTCGTTCGCCTGAAGGCCACAGTAATTGGAAAACGAAAAAAAATATGTTTTGGTGATGTATACCATATATTTGGGTTTCTGCTGCCCAAACATCGGACAGTGTAACGATTACGCTTTCATGTCGGGAAGTAAACTGCAAATAGAATAGATATCCTGTACAACATATAGACATAATCTGGCAGAGACATCTCGTGTGTAAAGGTACGATTTAGCTTCCAAATTGTTTTAACTTGGGAGTTAATGCTTGGCCCCAGGCCTTCACCCGCCCCAATTCTAGTTTCCATCCGTTTCGTTTGATAAAGGC